TCCGTTGACATACAGTGGAGGGGTAAAATAGTAGACTGACTGCAAACGTAGGATGTAACCGCGGGCATAAAGTAGTATTTATAGATCACGTCGTAGAGCCTCCAAATGCGTCTAAAAAAGATAGCCTCCGCCGGGATGATCCTGGAGTTGCATCTTACCATTTCATTTATCCCAAATGCCTGCAGTTTTTCGGTCGCCGACCTTCTGGAACCGGATAATTGGCGTCGAGGATACCGGGAAAAGGAAATTTTCTACGGCTATCTTATTCGTCAACGATAAGATACCCGCGAGGATCAATGCCTAGCTGTGCATTAATTACCAGAAGTGACGTTCGATATAACTAAATGTGTCCTTGCGGATATATGAGTAGTAGAATATAATAGTTGGTCGCTGGTGGGACCTGCGAGCCACATAGATGCCTGGAACTTTTGCTATATAGCCGACCCTGGAGCTCTCGTAACCTGGAGACGATTTGTTCTGGTTCACTCGAGCTATTAGTAGAATCAAATGCAGTCTAGACTTGGGTTTACGAGATCCTCCGGTTAAAGGGAATCCCCTATAATTACGACCCAATCACTTTCAGAAAACGAGGCTTAATAATGGCCTGCTATCGCTATGGTGATTGCTGCGAGTTCTGGGGAATCGCTAGCTGTCCGTTGGCATAGTCGTAACCCGTGTGAATTAGATAGGTAGGTAGGTGGCAGCTACTGCAAATTGAAGTTTAGTCTTTTGCATCCATCCTAAATAATAAATGAAAAGGGGTTTATGAACCAGCATGCCAATAAGTACACATCTATATAATATGATAGTAAATATTGTGTATGCAAGCACCGTTCCTATAAATGAGAACTTTCTTAGGACGAGATCATACAGTATAAAAGTAGTTTAGCTAAGGTATTGATATAGAGTGACTCTTGATATATATTAACCTAAGAAATAGAGGCACCATTTATATTAATTGAGTTAGTTTACGGTAACAAGTACTTGCCTAGCTGTTGTAAATAATAGTTTGAGATACACGTGACTGGGGAGTAGTCAGTAGGACTTGAAGTATACCAACAATATAGGCCAATATTACTTTAAGAATAGGAGAAATAGAAGATATATATATTAGTAAGTAAAGCAACAGTTTAGAAATACGTTTCATAAAATGGGAGTTATAACAAGTCGTACTTGATAATTGAAATTTCCACAACATGTAGTTCATTGTACTGATGATATCTTGGGATATATGAGTGAATCGATCTGTATTACGATTAGGCTAGGTCCCACAGCTCACTAGCGCCACGCTTTAATTACTAGCAAAGGAACGGCTTGCTGGAACTAAGAATTAGTCTCAGCCAATAAGAATATAATCGGGTTACTAAAAAGGCAAGCATTTAAGATATGAATGGTTATAGATGTTTGAAAATTAGGTACCTATGTATACGAATTTCTTAGACGCGAGTAAAGAGGATACTTTGATTACACGTATCTTTTCAGATCAGTCTGGCACTCCTTAATTCTAGACGTTTCGTGTAAGTGCGGTGCCCGAAAGGCGGGAGATGCGAAGTCACCTCTACTGTCGATATGCCATGATGCCTGCGTCATAATTCACATGTTGGGCGGCTTGGAAGAAGGTCAAATCCTGCAGTTACTCAGTCACTCGATCCTATTCTAGCCACGTAACGAGTAGGGCACATCGCTTTAGGTAACTCCTTGAGTCATTTCATTCGTACAATCCCGAGTTTCGGTTCTCTAATGCGCGGAGAGGCCATGCACGCCAGCATACCACGGGGACATGCGTTGCGGGATGGTGTGGAGAAAGGCTGCACCCAGAAATCTCCAATTCCCCGGATTGGATCTTAGTAGTAGGTAGGGTTACATGGTACAATGGGCTTGTTCGCATTCTCGAACTCGTGCTACTAGCGCCTTCACTAATAAGATCTATGATACAACTGTTTTCAACGAACAAAAGACTACTCTGTGCCCCGTGGAGTTTCTTCTTCTTCTTCACACAGTCGGCAGTACTATTACTGGACGTTATGAAACTAAGCCGAACAGCCGAGGCTCTTAGAATAAGCCTTCAAAGGTAGCCACATTATTCAGCTCTGTCTCTTCTAGACGAATAGGTGACATATTCAGCTTCCTGACAGAAAAATGAGAACGTCTCGTGCCACAAGCCTCTCATCTTTCTATACCGAGAATAAGCCCGGATCCAGTAGGCAGAGATCAAACATCCAAGATGATTGATTTATTTGACGTCATAGCCACCTCCCTGGATTGTGTAATGAAACACATTTTTGAAAAAAAAAAAAAAAAAAGATCTTCAGCAAGGCAGAGACATGCTAAAGAATGCTCTTATGCAAACGCCGTTTTAGGTCTTACATACCTAGAGCACCTCTCATTGGTCGCCTAGACTAAAAGTAGTGTGCTATTCTTAATTTTTCCTGGAATCATCCTGCGTATAGCAAGCTGTGTTGGAGCCAGAACATAGCTGAATACTTACCAGTCCGGCTAGAGCGGGTAGGTCAAGTGGTCAGATTTCCAATGGCCCCCTACGTCAATGTAGTCTGGGCGAATAATACAATAAGTAGCCTCTACAAGGGGGGCTATAAGCTTACAAAGAAATGTGCACATAAGCCTTGTCGTTGCCTCGGCGATTCAATATCTGTGACATGCCGGTCGACCTATAAGTATCTGCAAGCTTCTGCCAGCTATATGGAGTTATTGATCATCGGCAAGGCTACTCGAACTTTACCGCATTTATCCAAATGGCTACTATAATAGTTCCAGTTCTCTGGGTCCTGTTAAGCTTTTTTGCATATCATGTTAACAGTACGCCATATGCAAAGCGACCTCGTCAATCTGCGGGATGTACCGCAAACTACTTTAACGGAATTGTCCCTTCTGGTATCTCGATAGAGAGCGTCCAACATGTCACGAGCGGAACTTATATAGAGCAGGGAAATCTAGGCTATCCTACATTTGCATCTGGACTTCCGCCGCTCTGCGCCGTTATAGTCAAAAACGAGACAGCAAATTACCGCTTCGGAATGTTCCTTCCAGACACCTGGAACTCGAAGCTCCTTGTAATTGGGAGTTATGCGTTCCTCGGTGGCATCAACTGGCTCGATATGGGAGCTGGAGTGCAATATGGCATGGCTACTCTTGCTACCGACACTGGGCATAACTCGGGTCAAGGAGATATGACATGGCCGACTACTGAACAGCTTCGAGTCAACTGGGCTTACCAGGCAATGGAGGGTTCTATAACCCTAGGAAAAACGCTCATTCAAGCATACTACAACGACAAACAGATCGCGTATTCGTATTATAGCGGATGCTCAACCGGAGGTAGACAAGGCCTCAAACAAATCCGTAAGTAGTACCATAAATGATTCTACCCCTATTTGTTCTTTTTTCTTTCCGGAATATCGATTTCCAAATATATAGCTTACTTGTGAGGTGTAATATTCGCTTACTTATTGCCGTAGAGAGAGACCCTGATATGTTTGACGGGGCATTGATCGGGGCACCCGCGTGGGACACAAAGAATTTGATGCCTTGGATCTCCAAGCTCGCGACGTGGAATCTTCCTGAAAATGCCGACGGTAGCGTTAGTGACCAAAGTCTCTTCTCGCGGCTCCAGACAGAGGTGTTAAAGCAATGTGACCCTCTGGATGGCACGCAAGATGGGATCGTCAGCTCACTCTCGGCATGCAGAGAACAGTTTGATATTACCCAAATTAGCTGTGACGTATCAACAAATAAGACCGCCTGTTGGACCCAGGCACAGATAGAAACGGCGCAGAAGATGTACAGCGACTACATCACTGAGGGCGGAGAGCTCGTTTACAAAGGGTTGGATTACAGTTCCGAGGCGGAATGGGGGACTTTCCTGATGCCGGCCAACCCGAATGATTCTAATAACGTTAGAAGGGGCTTTGATGCGCAGTACGAACGAACATTCATGGACTATGGGAATAACTGGCAGATCACTTCATATAACGACAGCGTCGTGGACGATGCCAGAGCTCGTGATAAGACCTCGGTGCACGCCTCCGCAGATCAATTCGACCTAGGCAGCTTTCGAGGTAAAGGCAAAATTAGTACGTATGATCTAGACAACTGACCCCTCCCCTTTTCCCGAAATACTTCAATTATATAGACGCGAACTGACTTTTCGTAACACAGTTATGTATGGGGGGCTCGCAGACGCCACCGTACCAGTGCAACACACGACTCTGTACTACGACAGGACGATAGAAGCTATGGGAAGCGTTGACGACTTCTTCCGATACTTCCAGATTCCAGGCATGGGGCACTGTTGGGCTGGCCCCGGCAGTCCCAATTTCAACGTTCCGTGGATGATAGCTGGCGCGGGCCAGGCAGCGCAGGTACCACCCTACAACGCTGGATCTTCGGTCCCCGGCTACAAGGACAAGGAGCACGACGCCTTGCTAGCGTTGATGGACTGGGTCGAGAACGGCAATGCGGTGTCCCAGATCATCGCGACGGGATTCAGCTTCTCGGACTCAACCGGACAGGCGGTTGTCATGCATAGACAACGTCCTCTTTGTGCGTTTCCACGAACAGCAACATACGACGGCCAAGGTCCTCAGAACGATGCTTCTAGCTGGAAGTGTACGTGAGCGTTGGCAGGTCTTAACGGGTGCGCTACTATTTAAGCGGTGCCATACCATCCTCTTACAAGCTGTAGGAATTATAGTAGTAGCTAGCACTTTCGGAATAATTCGCGATATATGATATAAGAATACATATGGTGCATAGGTAGTATTATTTAAGGGTGGGCTGAACTATTCAGGTACATTATATATATATATATATATATATATATATATATATATAAGAACACTATGTAGTTAATAAGAAAATACCAACATGGTTAAATCTGTTCATGAGTATAATCAGGGGTATCACGTGACACATCTGCTTACCACTGACCCCTCGGTAAGTTTCTAATACGGTATAGTTGCTTATTCCTAATCCCGAGGTTATATTATTCCACGCCTCTTTTTTCCAGCTTGCTTATCTGCATCGCATCCCAAGGAATGTCTTATTTTGCTTCTTACCTACCTAGGTAGCTACTCATTGTTTAAATGGTGTTTCCGTATACCTTAGGTACCTAAACTACCTAACCTATACCTCGTACTACAGCTAAAATGCCGTCAAACGAGCGCCTCCCAGCCCAGGAGGTTTTCAGATTGGCCGCTCTTCCGGACGAGGTCGAGAATGGCAAGATCGTAAAACGGTATATGAGCCAACGGAGTGCATGGCATCCGGAAGGCGACGTCTCAATCGTGAGCGAATGCGTATACTCGGCATTGAAAACTGGGCCTCCAAATCGAAAAGTGGCGTTCGGTGGACACGTGTACAGCCAAGCGGGAATAGCTGCATCTAAAGCCCTTGTGGATATGCAATCTTCGCGGGCTGGTGCTTCTCGCAGGGAGGTTAGTGTTGGTATTCATGTAAGTCATCCAAGCTCATCGACATAGTCCATTCTAGCAAATAGACGTAGGACGTAGGCCGTAGGGGCTAGGCTTGCTGATAGACGTAGACTATTCATGGGTACTTTTCGGAACCTGGTCTTATAGATAGGCCATTTATATACAGTGTCACTACTCTGGCGCCAAACCCTTCATTTCCAAATTTTCTAGTCACGGTGCGACAGCCTCTATCGTCGAGCACAAATCCAGCAGGAGACCATTTCCCTCTTGCCGACGCCGAGCTTCCCCTTGGCCCAGTTTGCTTCAACGCTCTAGTATCCTTTAGACCCTCTGTAGTTTCACAGCATGTAGCCCAGGAACTGCCAGCGCAGACGCGGTTCGCAGATATCCTGAGCTCCCGGCCCCCTTCGGCATGGGATCCGGCGCCACATATCGATATCGCCAAGACCGTAGGCGAGTTTCCGATGCGGAACCCTGGGACCTTTCCCGTAGTCGATATGAAAAAGGTCGACCTCGCCGCCTTTAACGAGGGTAAACCGCTTCACGAGCGGCGGGAGCTTTTGCTATATCGGCTGCTTGCCCCTTTGCCCGTGGATCACCCTGATTCGCACATTTGCGCTCATGCGTACGAGGCGGATAGAAATGGGTTGCTCATGATAGGCAACCATGTCGGGTTCGGGTACAACTTTGGTCGCGCCGCTAGTCTGAGCTATTCTTTTATGGTGCACGTCAATCCCGAGGACGCGGTAATGTCATATGGCGAAGATGAGTGGTGGATTCAAGAAGCGTGCTTCCCTCGACTTGAAGCTGGGAGGGGGGTCATCATGAGCAAGATCTGGAGCCCGAAAGGTGTGCATGTCGCCACGGAATACCAAGATGGCTTGTGCCAACGCCAATGGAAACCCGGCGAGAGAAAGGGGAAGTTGTAGAACGATAACCCCCTCGATACCGATATTTTACGCCTAGTACGATCGTTGTTAAAGTTGATAGTGAGGGTAGCCATTGGCGCCAGTTAGGTATAGGTTTTGATTTTTCTAGATGTTCAAATGTTTACAAGAGTACGTAACCTAGGTAAACGGCCAAAGATTAAAGGTTATCAAACGAAGTATATCTTGTACATATTCAGCGCTGAGATTCTTTTCACGGAAGATACATAGCAGAATAGTTCACAAATATATCCAATATCAAGAAGTGGTTCTGGATTTCTCATTGACATCGAACCGTGAAAAGCCTCCAATCAAAGTTGCTTAGATTCATTATATGCATCGAGCGCAGCGAGATTGCGTGCCTTGTTCGCGCTTTGGATTGTCCGCGATTCTCTAAAGGTTCAATTCTCAAGTGCAGTACCGCTATTGTCTAAGTCCGAATCTTTCCCCTGAAGAATGATAAAGGGGTTCTCGCTAACAGCCTTATCGACTTCCACACATGCATCATAGCCATATAACCAGGGTTGCACCCGGGGACAACACCAGCGAATTGGAAAAGGGGCTGTCTTGACTTCCATGTCTATCTGCGATAATAGTAACTCATCTCGTGCCCGTTGCCTGGGGCCATCGATCATATGAAATACGTCGCGCTGGTAATCGTCAGCAAGCATTTTTATAAGGTTATCATATAGCATCCAGAGGTGATAATCCTAAGAATCTTGATACGTATGGCTCGGTCTTTCTAAAAAGAAAAAAAACAAATAAACTTACTTGTCCGAAGGTTTCCTTCACAATAGCGTCTCCCCGTGGTTTTCGAAGTTGCTCGTACATCCTCAACACCTTGCCGATCTGCTCCTTAGATTGGATATATCCTAGTAAGCGGCCAAGAACGGCACCGTCTTCGATAGCAGAGTTAGCCCCCTGGCCGAGGTACGGCAGCATAGGATGGCAGGAGTCGCCGCTTGGATAATGAATTAGCTTAGGTAGGCTAGCAATGGCAAAACTTACACAAAGGCGAAGTTGCTATTGGGAGACTCGTGGATCCATCTCCGCATTTCTTTACCTAGAATCGGACTATCGTTAGATTTCTGGTATTATGAAGTAAGACAAGTATAACTGAAAACTCACGATGCATCAACTTCCACTTTTTAACAGAACTAACGAGTCCCAGAAACTTGCTCAAGATCGGATCCCAATTCCTAAAAAGCGCCCTCATCTCCTCTACAGAGCCTGCTTGACGACTGATACCATTTGGTAAGTCGTCCGGGGCCATCAGCACCAGATTAAACTCAGTTCCTCCTCGGAGCGAGTATCCAACAACATGTGACTTGGGGCCCATCCAGATATTGCACTTTGGGCTGCTTACCCATTCCCTCAACTCAGGATCCTGAATTTGATCCAGTTTGAGAACTAATCGATATGCCAAATCACCGGTCGGTCTTGGGACGCCTTCAAAGTCTTTGGGGAGGAACTGTGCCCGGCAAAAAGACCACAGACCATCGGCAGCAACAACCAGATCTCCCCGTATTTTCGCCCCGGATTGGCTTGTGACCTCCCCCGTCTCGAAATTCACGCCGCTGATCCTCACTCCAAATCGAAATTGTACACCGAGTTCTATAGCACGTGCGTAAAGTGCGGTTTGGAAATCAATCCGGTGCAACTCGATGAAAGGAGCACCATATCTTGCTCGTATCTTCTCTTTCCAGTTTTCCTCTACAACTAAGACCTCACCAGAGTATCGGCGGACGGTTAAAGATGTAGGCTCAGCAGCCGAAGCCCACAAGTCGTCCGAAAGGCCCCAGCGTTGTAGTATGCGTGAAGAATTTGGCGTAATTTGTATCCCAGCCCCGATCTACAATGGTGTAAGAAATAAGAAAAGAAATCTTATGAATGAATGTATTTCTGCATGATCGTGTTACCTCATGAAGCCCTTCTGCTGTCTCGAATACAGTTACATTGTGGCCAGACAATGCAGTTTCTATAGCAGTTGCGAGACCGCTTATTCCAGCACCTATGATAACAACATCCAGGCGGACAGGTGGATTGAGAGCCCCAGCCTGAAGCTCACTTGTTAGTGTTTACTCTCCCTATATAGACTTAGATAGGTATAACGTACCATTCAGAATCGGAAAGCTACTAATATCTCAATAACTTCTCTCTCGGAATTAGCATAACTAATATTATTGTTACTTTCTGCACGACTATAATGTACGAGACGATGAGAAGGAACTAATTACCCCAACATATTACGCTTAAGGCGAAAATGGAATATACTTGGCCTCTATATTACTGTGCTCCCCCGCTTCCCGGTTAATTCGCCCGCAGAAGCTAGGTAGGTAGCATCGCCCAAAATTATTATCGGAGAAGCACATCCTCCATTCTCGTTCCACCACGGTCCGGAATTTGGATCGGTACAATTATGAGGCTCTTAGTTAAATTATATACTCGTTTATAAGTTATTGTAAATGCGTAGAGAAGCTAGACATAATAGGGCCTAGAGCGGCTCCTTTTTACCTATGATGACGGTAGTAAAGTCGCACCAGCCGGCACCGAGTTTCTCCAATAGTCTGTTTCCCTAAGCTTCTCATGCCGCCGTATCAGTCTCGACGGTACAAGGTCCCTTCTTTTCTTCTCGTGCACGCGTCCCAGAAATACGACTATGTACGCGTCTAGTACGGTTAGCTTAGGCCCAAATATGAAAGTCAACTTGCCCTCCTCGGCGGGGACGTTTTATATCCGTCGGCTACGTAATAGGAAATCATGACGCTCTCGGGCACATCACCTTTTGCATTGGCATTAAGTGAGTAAAGCTAGCTCTTCTGCTTCAGCTTTAATTCCAGCCGTCCGTTCTGGGGTCTCGTGCGCATTTCATAGGTCATCCGCACTATGATGGCGCAGACGGAATAAAGCAGAAGTATACAAAGTGAAAAGGGGTTAAAAACTTTTTAGAAGTCATAGCGAAGTGAAACCAACCTAGGTAAGATGCTATGTTATACTCTCATAATGCCAGCGTGTCATTATCAATCATGTGTTACCCTTTGGGAAGGCATTGGTATCCTACAACATGAGGAATGGGTATTTCACAACTGGGGCAATGTTTAACGAACCCCTGTGACTTAATAATCGAAATTAAAGTAATTGCCAACGCGTTCTCAAGATCTGCTTCATAATGTATTCTATTTGACTGAGTAGTAGCTACCTAGAGGTAGTCCCCAAATCGCTGTTTGACTGACAATAAAGGCATCGGTAAATTTAGGGCTTGCGAACACGATATAGAATATGCAAACTCTCTTCGAAGCACCGGGTGAGATGACGGACCCATCATAGCCAGACTATTACACGGCCCCAAACTAAAATTTCTTCCCTGGCATACTATCAGTTTTCTCTTTCTTCCTGCTTAGTAGCTCCTCTTCCTCTCGCTGGATATCGGCGTCGACCTTTGCGCCCCGCGAAGGCTCGTTTCCGTGCATTGTCGCCTATAGTCACAAGTATAAGCAAGGAGAGACTAGTAAATCGAACTTCGTCTCCTTAAAATAACATACGCTGTAAGTAGGATCGTGCTTGTATCGCTCAGCAACATCATCCTGGGTCTGTGCTCAACAAGAGGTTAGAGCTAGTATCAAATAAAATAACTAATGTTTTATGAGCTTGCTTGTCGGACGTACATTCTCGTAGAGCATTTGGTTCATTGCTTTGTTTTGATCCTCTGTGAGCAATGCATTAGTAGCAGGATAGAAACCATGATGAGTTGTAACATACTAGGCCTATAACCTTGGGCATTGGTTATATGATGCTTATTTTCGTTTGCTATATCCGCTCGGCCATAGTTGACCTGGTCGCCTTGCTCATAAACACCAGAACTTCCGTGGCTACCAGCCATGATGATATTCTCAACGATATTCTGTACCTAAGGTATACAACTGTTCAAGAATTGATAGCAGATAATTAGACAAGGAATATGCAAGGAATATGCGCTTGGAGTTTAGCAAAGTCAATTGCTTGGAGTGAAGTTTCACCACGCTTTTATGGACGTTACTGATATATATATACCATACTGCGCACAGTCTGTCCTACTGTCGTCCCTCAGAAATCAACGTCATCATTGCGACGTTTCTAGAGCAGCTATTCCGTACCGCTTATCGCTTAGATCGATCCAAAAGGTTAAGGGGCAAATGGCTCTTATTTAATGCTGATCTGTCCGAACCTAGATGTTATGATTTCGAACTGTTGCAGTTAAATGATGTCATGCATCGACATTATGACAATACATAGACTCGTTAAGATCCAACCGTGGAACCAGATTGGATCACACAAAGCTCACTGTGATTCACAAAAATTAGCACTCGCTCCTCAACTATAGGACCCTTGCTCTGGGTAAAGAGATAATTGCTCAAAATGATATTTCCTCCATCTCTATCGATTATAGCGACCGTCGTTGCCCCTCTTTTCGTTCTCCTCTTGTCGGCAGTCTCGGTAAACGCAGATAGGTATATCTCGCGAGTCCATGATATACCTAAAATCGGCTTAGGCACTTGGCTTTCCGATAGAAAAAAGGTAGAATATCTCAATTGAAGTGGAATATAATCAATGGTGTACTTATAGTATTATATAGGTTGCCCACGCTGTTGAATATGCCTTAGATTCGGGATATAATCATATAGACGCCGCTCTCATCTATCGTACGAACTGTTAGTATCCCATTATTCGCGTGAATACTAATGTGTGATGCATAGGAAATGAAGACCAAACTGGCAATGGAATAGCTTGGGCAGGTGCTTCTCGAGAAGACATTTGGGTGACAAGCAAGCTGTGGAATGACCACCACCGCCCCGACCAAGTCCAAGAAGCAATCCAAAAATCGATATCAGACCTCGGCGTGGAGTATTTAGATCTCTACCTCATGCACTGGCCGGTCGCCTTTGTTCCTGGTGAGGGAACTAAGATAGATGAGGAAACATCTATCTTCGACACTTGGCGGGCCATGGAAGATCTTGTCAGAGCCAACTTGACTAGAAAAATTGGCATTTCCAATTTCGCCAAGAAGGACGTCGAGGATATTCTAGCCATGTGCACGATATGCCCATACGCACATGAATTCGAGACTCATCCTTACCTACAGCAGCAAGATTTCGTTGATTTCCACAAAGAGGTCGGCATCAAGGTCATTGCATACTCACCACTTGCGAACACAAATCCAACCTACCATAGTGGTGTCAGGCCCATCATGAAGGACCCATTATGGAACTTTATAGCTGCGAAAAAGGAAGCAACCGTGCCCCAAGTTTTGCTGGCCTGGGGTATCCAGAGAGGAACCACTGTGATTCCCAAGAGCGTTCACGAGCAATACATCAAGGAGAATCTCGAGGCATTGGATATAAAGCTTACGGAGAACGACATGAAGGCTATCGCTGCTCAAGATAAGAAGACGAGGATGAACGACCCTGGGAAAAGCTGGGGTATAAAGCTGTTCGCGGATTTAGACGATCCTACGGATCTAGACGGGAATGGGAAGAGCAAGGAGCTGTGAACGGGCCCAAAATATGACGTTTCGAATAGTGCTTGCACGTTCGGGATCGAGTGTCTTGAAGTCCTTAAAGGAGGGGATGTGATTTAACTTGAGATTATCTTACTCGCAATAATACTAAGAAGTTCCTCGGTGCGGTACTTATAATCCGCGGTCTAGCTAAGGGCCAGTGCCTAGGTTAGGTTAGTAAGTTTTAGTTCCAGCTGAATAATAGTTAATACAATTGTCTATACATAAGACTCAAGTAACAGGTCTATGCCCGACTCTTGAAACTCTGACTTTTACGCCTAGGGATTGCTTAGACATAAATTAAGGTATGGTAGGGTTTTAAAGCTGTTTTTTTTCTCCGACTCCCCTTTTCTCTCGCATTAGGTACTTGGTTAGTTACCTAGGTACCTATGACATTAAGTAGATAACTACCTAGGTTAGATGATTGATTAGAGGCCTAGTTCTATAGTAACGCCAGTGTCCTTTGACTTGCAGTCTCCAGAAAGGAAGAATTATATCATCGTATTACCGTCTCCTTGAATTCAGGAGCTGTTACTATACATAATAGGCTCCGTATTAGACCAACCCACCCCCTTTTATCATTTCCCCTTCTCCTTGAGCATGCCACTTGATCCGTGCTCCTTTCCCCACTTCGTGACTTTGGTGTCCATTTCCCATCTTATAAACACCATCACCACAAGAACCACCCATCCTAATAAAGTATTAATTAATCCCTTCCAAAAACCTCCGCGTGTAGAACCACCTAGCACGCTTGTCATCACAAGCCTGATGATGGTGCTTGTAGGTACCAGGTCCTCGCCGTTTTCTAAGCCACGAATTGCGCGGCGCGCAACCTCTTCTGGCTCCAGTATCTGATCACCCTCCTCGAGGGATTTCGTTAGATCAGTCTTGATGCTGTTCTCTTCTTCTAAGCCTTGAGTGGGCATGGTAGCGGGGAATACAGTATGCACACGCACACGGGGGATATTAGGGTGAGCGGCCGCGTAGAGGTTCATCTCTTGAGATAACGAGTCAGAAAGCGCACGGATAGCTGCCTTGGAAGGACTATAGGGCGTGAAGCCGGCAAAGCTGTAGAACGAAACGAACGAGCCGGTGAAGATGAGATGGCGCGCCGGTAGTGAAACCGTTTTTGTCTCTGGCTGAGACGTAGATTCTGCATGTCTCTCAGAGTTCGTTGCATCCGGATTAGATCGTAGCCAGGCGTTGAGCACGGCGTGTGCCATGTATGCACACGAGAAATAATTGCTGTCCATCATGGTCTGAAACTGCTCTGGCGGGGTATCGATATAAAGTGTCGCATGCGCGCTGCCGCTGCAACACCAAACAACATCGGGTGGTAAGCCATGATTCCACGCGATAGCTTCAGTAACCACGCGAGCGCACTCGGCAGAAGTGGTCACGTCAGCGCTGATGTAGTGGAAACGTTGTGTCTCAGGCGAGCGGGCGCCTTTCTAAGTGAAAGTCATTAGCTCATCGACATAAATTAAGAATGAATAGATTAATGGGATGATGCCTTACTGAAATATAGGCAACGCCTTCTTGTAACTTGGCTTCGTTGCGCGCAACGATAATAACGTTGGCGCCTTTCTCTGCCAATTGGCGGGCAGCGTTCAGGCCAAGACCTCTAGAAGCACCAGTTATAAGTACTGTCTGTAAGAAGCTTAATGTTAGACAACAATGTTAAATAACAAGAACGAGGGTTTGAGTTTGGAAAATAAAGAAAGGCATACTCGTCCTTCAACTGGGAACTCATTCCGAGATAAAAATGACCCCATCTTGCCCGCACCTCGAGTAATTGGTATTTGGTATTTCAATTACTAAGACCTTTGTAACTAACGACGAGGTCTAATGACGAAGTTAAGAAAGACGACGATGTTCTGCTTACTTCAGAAAAGGTGGTTGACTTCTCTAATGTTTGTAGGTTTAAAGGGTTCCAATTTTACTCAAGCTCTTAACCAATCAGGCTTCTTTTTTAAATGAATCCTAAGTACAAACGCCTAGGTACTGTGGGAAGGAGCAATGATAAGGAAGGGCATATATAAGATTTCCACCACTCAAAAGTGGAGTATTGGAATCTTTTCTAATACAACATTGTTTTACCCCCAGCATACCAGCATCCAATTATCTACAGCACCTAGTAACCTAAATTCTAGACGCAGAAGGATCATGCAGGATATCAATAATATAAGCTTACCCCTTGTTTTAATTGGACAACCGCCACGTTATCCGCGTACGGTGCATGAGGTTTGGGGGCTGCGTAGCATTTTTCATGATATAGTTCGTTGCGACAACTATTACCCTAGGATTCTCTCGTTACCCCTCCGTCACTCACGATAGCGTAGATTGGTATAGCTTCGCAGTTGTGCCGCACAATCTAGCTTATTATTAGGAACGTATGATGGATGTTGCCTACCTTAGTAGCACCTCCATGGCGACGATATACCCATGGACGAGTGTCCGAGATTTTCTACTTCTTTTTGTTTAGCTATAATCACGACTGAGAGTTCACAAGATCATGGCACCTATCCCAGAGCCGTCTGAGAGCAGCGGGGATGCGACATTGGCTGTTAGCGGAGTCGTTATTGTACTTGCTCTTCTATCGGTTGTTCTGCGATTCTACACTCGAAGGTTCACTCGGTTAGGCTTAGGAGCAGATGACTGGTTAATCTTGGTCGCTGTCATCGCAACCCTTTTGACAGCTGTACTTCTCCTCTGGGGTATGTTCAGCAACTATCGAGATAACCATCCTCTTAACAGCTGTGATAGGTAACAGCGTCGATCCGGACGGCCTCTGGGTTTCGGAAAACACTGACCCAGACTACCTTTATACAGCTGAAGATGTCTTTTACCTTAAGCTTTCATTTGCATCTTCCATCCTATATTTCACCATTGCAGGCGCCACTAAGTTAGGAATATTGCTCATGTACTACCGCATCTTTGCTGTTAGTACCGCTTTTCGCTACCAATTATTCTTATCGGTTGCCTTGGTCATTGGATGGTGGATTGGATGCACTATAGCTACATTGACGAACTGTATCCCCCTCGAATGGAGCTGGAATAATAGCTTGGCTGACCCGAGATATTGCTTCAATTATAATATCTTCTGGATGGCATCGGGAGCTTGTGAGATCTTTCTTGACGTGTTGATCTTGACATTACCTATCAGCGTTGTCGTGAGAATGCGTCTATCAGCCAGGCGGAAGGTCACCGTCTCGATTATTTTTCTCCTAGGCGGGTTGTACGTTACCTCCTGTTGTGTCCATTTCAGGGGCTTTAAACTAATATTCCTTATAGTACTATTGTGACGGGTCTGATCAAGGTAATTCTTGGCTACCCACCTAATAGCCGTGTCCCATCATATTCGAACACCGAAGTGTGGACGACTGTGCATGCTGGCCTAGCCATCGTATGTGCTAGTCTACCTATATTCAGACCCTTGGTTAGGCGAATTTCCCAGTTGTCACTCATCTCTAAGGCATCAACCCTATTTCCTGTTCGGCATTCTTCAAAGCAACCAACCCCCATCTCTCTGGAGATGATATCTGAGCCGTCTACCTACCAGAAAGCGTCGGTGGGGGGGCGAAATGCAGGCTCCTTGCGTGAAGATGAGGAGGGGTTTTTCTTAGGATTACCCCGGATAGAAGCGGTAGAAAACAGCACAGCATCTCTATCCGCCCAGCTAGCTAGGTTTATTGAACAAGGCGAAACGATTAATACGGGTCAGAATTTACAAATGGGAGAGGCCGTTAACCAGGTACGATAGGTACCTACTCTAAGAAAATAAAGAAACCAAATAAGTGCTACCTAAGCAGTTTCTGACATTATATGATATGGTTGTACTACCCAAAGGTACCAAATCTCTACTATTCAACCTACATGTGTTAGGTTGTTCTTTTTGGCATTTCAATCACATGATGTATTAAAAAAACGCTATATATCTTTTGAAAGGGTGCCTTGCATAGGTAAGAGTTAGCAATTTCTGATAACATTGAGACACATCAAAGGTTCTAGACCCTCAAATGTCTAATGCTCCCAATATCCTAGATAGCTACTTTAGGTAGATGTATAAAGCAATTCAAGAGACAATGAATTAGTCACAAAGTTGATTCAATTATATTTTGGCTTAGTAGAAAGACGGGTTCTATAAGCTTCCTCAGCATAATATAGAATCTAACATCTCCCGTTCTAGTCAGGCAGTTGTCCCCATATCCAGTGCAAGATTTGGGGCTCTTTCTCGAGTCATAGACCTTTATATTCCACAGAAGTACTCTTATATGGTAAACATGTATCTCTTGATTGACTTATGGTATTATATCGTGGTTTATGTTTATTGTTCTTTATTAAATCTCATTTCTTTCGGCGCATTGATAGTCTTATCATCTTTAGTCCGCTATTAGGCACCCATATAAGTGCCTAAGAGTTATGTAAGTCAAAGCACCCTTACAGGGGCCACCCTAGTGGGGGCCACCTTAAATTTTTAAACCTTCAAAATAAGTACTTTAACTTTAATTTAACGTTATTTAATTAAATTAAATTTAATTAATAAAACTTTATTTTTTAAATTAATATTAAAATTATTGATTATAATTATATTATTTGATTTTTAAACCTTTAATTGTTCTTTTTTTTTTTATAATAATTTTAATATTTATAAACGTTAAATTTAGATTAAATAATATTTTATGCTGTTTTTGCAATTTTGTATTTATTAATACCTTTTTTAAATATTTGGCGTAAATTTTTATTATAGCTAATTTTATAATAATTTTATTAAAGGTTTTACCAATCTTATTAAATAAAAGTTTTATTGCGGATTTAATAAATATTATATTAACTTTAAATAACTTTTTAATTAAAATATTAATATTTATAAATTTAAAAGTGTTATTAAAGGGATTAAGGCTATATTTTCAATAAAATTAAGCTTTTTTAAGTTAGAAATAAGGCTTGAAGGGGCCGGGATAGTATTAAGAGCCTCTTAAAGCATAAATTAGTAATTTAATAACTTATTTTAATTTTTAAAATAGATTCTTGTAGTTTTTTAATTAATTAATATATTATATTTAATTAAATATTTTTTTTATACTATTTAATAAATTGTAATAAATTTCTTTTTACCAGGATTAAAAATATAATATAATTAGTATACTTTAATAAGTTTATAATAATAACTTTATTTTATTAATAAAAATATACCTACATTAATAATTTATAAAACGTATAATAAATATATTGGGATAAAGATAATATAAATTTTATTTATAAAATATTTTTAAAAAAATTTTATTATAATATAATTATTGTAGCTATTAAGGATTAATAATTATTATTATTAACGATTTAATGGCTTTATTTTTTTTTAAAAAAACCTTATAAAACCATTTAAATGTAATATTATTATTAATTTAACTATTAAAAAACATAATAAATTTTTAACCTTTAAATTTAATATCCTTATTATTAAAAAACCATTATTATTATATATATTTATTTATATATATAATAAAGGGATTTAAAGATTAATTGTTGTTATTAATACATTTAATAATTAACGTTTAAGTTTTATTATTATAATCTTTAACCACGATATACTTTTTATAAATTTTATTAATAACTATCCTGTTGTTTTTAACCTTTTTTATGATTCTTATTTTGTTAACGCTATATGTATGCTTGGCCGGGATATTTTTGATTCTAAGGGTTTCAAATTAGTTAAAAAAGATATTAATATTATTAATTATAGTTTTATTAATTTATTTATAATCAATTAAATAGGCCTTAACCAATTTAATATTAAAATAACAAAATAAAAATTATATATATTAATATTTACTGAGGATATTAGATCGGTAATTATAAATTAATAATCTTTTTGCAATATTTTTAAATCGATATAAAAGAAACATATAGTTAATACGGTTTAATATAACGGCCTAATCGGCTAATTCCTTTTCTTAATACTTCAATAACTTCTAATATTTTTTTAAATAATCGTTTCGTATTTTACAACCTAATATTTGGTTTATAAAATAGTGTTGTAATATAAGGTGTTTTTTAAACGCTTGCCGTAAGGATGCGCTGTTGAGAATATTGTTTATTACTATAACGCAACGCAATTAAACTAAAAAAATAGACATTTTAAAATTGTAAAAAAATAAGGATTTAAATGATAAATTTTATTTTTTAATTAACTAAAAACTAATAAAATTATATAATAATTCGTATATGGACCTCATCGCGAACGCGTCGCGTTTTTGAGGTGGCCCCCACTAGGGTGGCCCCCGTAAGGGTGCTTTGACTTATAACATATTAGCCGTATAGTAAGGCTGCTATTGTCTTACCATTTATACTTATAAATAGTTGAGCATCTACCCGCCTAAACATGCAAATACACCACAAACACCTCTACGGAAATCAACACACCAGCATACATGCCCCATAGTAGATATTATCTTTAACATATCTCAGCTTACTACGACATAACGATATGGATAACTTTCAACCATCTCAGGCTACTGAACAGGACCCTCCTCCAAGTCTGGTCAGTTGGTGGTACGGACAACCTGACAATCAGGGTCAGTTACAATGGAGCACATCCACCAACGATAAGGAGGAGTTTTCAGACTTGCTAGCCCGTACTTCTAGCATTCCCATTATTCATCGTTCTGTTTTAAAACAGGGTACTTGGGAAACCTATTCCATTACCATCCAAGACCCAGTCATGAGAAAGAGTAAGTCTCCCGACGTCATTTCTTCAGGATATCACGTTTAGAACCATAATTCACACATACGATATGTACTAAAGCCGCCAATCTCTTCTCATATGAGATGGATGAGCTTTCTCGTAAACCTAGTCAGATCGCACAAAGCTAATTGTTATCATTATAGTTCTTGGCGACGTCCTCCGAAAGTATCAGGATCTCGACTTAAAGAAAGAGAAATGGACTTTCCGGCCTCCTTTCCAACCATTACTTGATCGTTGGAGAAAGATAGAAAGATATGCTACTAAAGCTAAAGCTGACCTTGAGGTCGCGAATGCATTAGAGAGATTGGTCTTCGTCCTGTCCCCAATCATCAAGCCCCTACTCCCCTCATCCAAAAACATTGACTTTGCGAACATCCAACACATATTTACTCCTGGTACCCTAGTCTTCAGTAAGAAACATCATGCTGAAACCGTCTCTCGAGTACTCAAATGCCAGCAAGCGAAACCCAGGAGGTGGGAGATTGGCGTGGAGCATGTGGATTGGAACGGCAAGGAATGTGGTTATCGAGAATATTCGTTCACAATTAAACAATTCGATGGCTACTGTGGAGTCACGGAGTTGGATGTATTTCCGATTTCATATTTGGCAGATGAAACTAAGTTTAGAGCAGCCTGCATTGAGAGAGGCCGTAAATTTGAGCAACTCGGAGGCTATAAGCTCATGATTTGCTGCAAAAAAACTAAGATATGGGACAGCAGAGATCGACGGTGGCAGATAAAACTAGTAAGTATCACGCTAAATATATATTTATACTACGGCATATTCTGTTACTTACCTCTTAGCAAAGGCTGGGTCGAAATTTTGTGTTGACGCATTTGCGTACTATGATAACCGAAATAGTGGCAAGCCCAAGCTACGGCCACTTGACGGCAATGGCAAGCATCCAGTAAAGGACGGTATCGAAGGATCAAAAACTGCGTCTGAATCCTTACCCGCTCCCTCGGTCAGAAGAAAGGAGCACCTACAACCCCTGACTGACGAACAACGACTCATGATACATCCTTGGCTTAGGTGTTTTGACCTTCAAACAAAAAGATGGTGTAAGGTCTTAATTGACGACTTAGAGGAGGCGACTTCGAACGACCTAGCCTTTGAGAAGCTACTCCTACCAGATAACGAGAAAGAGGCGTTATTGAATCTCGTCAAAGGAAAGCTCCTCGCTGGTGATCTAGGGAACAACGACTCCATCCAGAATCAGGGCCGCGGTCTTACATGCCTCATGTTCGGGCCTTCAGGAGTCGGTAAAACCTTCACAGCCGAGGCAATCGCTGATAAATTAAGCCTTCCTCTGTATTCCATGGTTGGGAAGAACCCCGGAGAAGCGTGTGAAGATTTACAGACATACCTGCAGCAGGGTCCGAAGCTCTGCCGCCTATGGGATGGCATTCTCCTCATAGAGGAGGCGGATTCTCTCATCGCTGCCCAGGATGGTGAACCCGTAATAGATGATGGTTATGAAGAGTTCGAAATATATGGTGAGTATGATTTTGTCCCGGTCTTCCTTTGGACACTTAAAAACTATACGGGCATATTATTCCTCACTGTCAACGAAGTTGGTGACATTGGCTCGGCCTTACGGCCGCATATCAATCATTTCATGCCCTATAGCTCCCTCGGCATACAGACACGCCGTCAAATTTGGCGGAACTTAATCGAGGACTCCGGGAAGGACAATTTCATACGCAGTTCCGAAGACATGGATGATGTGCTCAGCGAGCTATCGAAATTCGATCTTAACGGACACGAGATCAATAATCTTGTCAAAAGTGTTCGGATGATCGCACTTGGAAGCGAAGACAGCGACAACAAGGTATCTTTAGACACTCTATGTCTTCTTGCACATAATTGGGTTCAATCCCTAAGACCCTAAATGGGACTCATCACCTACAGATGGGTAGCTTGTCCTGAAGGTCGATCGACCAACCCCCTAAGTAATGGGGAACACAGTGTAGGTTCTAGAAATGCACCTAGAGCAGTATGGGTTGACCATAGCCGATCATTATTATTCATCCCAGCCATCCCATACGCCATTGCCGCGTTTCAGGTAATTAAGTGTAAGCTATTTAGATAGATCACACGCCTACTGGGTGTTAACGAACTCATCATCATTACTAGATAGCATTAGTATTATCAATTCTATTCCACTCCCTACAAGAGGGATTCAAGGAGAACTATGAATGCCGTGACTGTGAGCCAGAAAGTAAAAACAGATAATGAGATACCATACCTAAATAGCTCTTCTAGTGGGCTCCTTCTTGTAATATCGCTACCTCCTAGGCAGGCTATACATAGCATAAAATGGCAATCTGCTGATTCACAATGCAAATATCAGAGCAACAAATCATTCGCTCAAAACAGAATTATACTATTATTTCCACTTAAGTATTTAGCGCCGCCTGAAGACAACTTATCCCCTCGAAGTTGACAGAAACATATTGCCATACCCATATTTCCCTTGCGTCCCGTAGCGTATATCCAATGAGATTCCCCTAATACCCAAGAACTGTAAATCATCCCGAAACCCAAATAAAACCCGTGTAGCCAGCCAATATTAGACCTTACACCCGCTTGACATGGCTGCCCTTCCCGTCCGTTCCGCGCATCTTGCGTGTCCCCGCAGCCTTCTTCCCCGGTCTGCGTGTGATCTTGCCAACCAACTTCTCTGCGGCGCCCGCAATCTTATCGCTTAGGTGTGGCTTCCGCTTATGGTGGGTAGCTGGGGCTCTTGTCGCTCCGGTCTGCTTCTTGACACCGGCGTGGCGATGGGTGGTGGTGGTATTGCCACCTTGTCGCTTGCGTTCCGGCTCGGTGGACACGGTTAGGTGCACGCGTGGCTTGGAATGGCCAGTCGAGGCTCGTGTGGAAGCTGCCATGTTTGTGTGGAATGTGAGTTATAAATGGTGACCAGATACAAGAATTGTTATACGATGCAATTTTAGGTTTAATATTGTTGAATGTTTGATGCTGAGATATCAAGTTGATGATATATAGGAGGTTTGGTGGATGATGTCTAAGGGAAGTTGATATGATCTCGATGGTTTGAGTCAAATATCTTTTCATGGGGACGCTCGAGGCACCTTTCAATACTCAACCCTCTTTAAGGAAGATATGCACTAGGTATACTCGCATCTAATTAGTTGTTGTAAATCAGGGATGACGTCATGCTCGTTGTCAAGCAGGTTTGCTCTTTGGACACCTAGTCTGGTGACATACGTGGCGAACCATTTATATTTATGCTACTTATGAAATATTGAAAGTTATTCGGAAATAGTATTTGGTAGAGCAGTTGAGAACGGCCATTAGTTAATATCGTAAGGGATGACGACGTTAAGATAGTTTCTAAGAGATATCCAATAGGGGTGTCCACGTTAGCGTCATTTATAGATTCAAAATATAGAATATGGAAATATGATTATTTGGTAGTCTAAGGGTTGCCTAGAAAATAGACCAATGAACGACATAGCCTTCTATTTACTTATTAACCGTTAGATATTGCTGGTACTGTAGTTGAAAGAGTCAATAACTTGACTCTCTACTTAAGTATATTATACTTGATATTTAGGTATGTTATAGATGTTAGCCTTGAGTCTTGTAATAAATAGGTTAATATTTAGGCTTAAGTATATTTAGAAAATGTTGGATTAGCTTCGTCAAGTAAAGTCTTCTAAGAGACGAACAGTTCATCCATAATGTCAATCTCATATGAGCCCAAATGTCAAGACGCGACCTAGGACATATGCCAGTAGATAAGTATATCTGTAATTCAACTTGATAACTTTCACGGTAGGTTCTCTAACAGCGCCGATAGGCTGCCTACCTGCCTAGCGTAGTAATATTGCGCTCGGACCGTCGCCCGACTTATGTGGATGGATCAGCCCTGCAGATTATTAGACTTACAATATCGTCACTCGGCCTGGGCTAGTGGCATATCTCCAGAATGAAGCAATTCTATTAGTATTAAATTTGACCCCCCTGTGTAAACTTCCCCTGATCTTACTTGATCCTAAAAATTTCAACTCGGGCTCTCGGTGTAGTAGTTGGAAGGACCCCTAACCTCGGCGTTTGGAGTGATAAGAAAAGACTCGGCTATGACTGGGTTGACTGTATCATATGAACAGCTGTGGCCAACTGACAGCAGTTGTGCCACGTTGGCTCCTGAAAATACGATATTTACAAGCTCAGACAAATAATCCCCCATTGACAAGTGCTGTTCTATCAGTTAATAAAATGACAAACTTTGTCGTCCTACATCAAATCGGGCGTTTCTCCACTGGAAACGCCTCGAGCTACATTAGCACAAGGCTTTTTCTGTCCCGATGTCAGATGAGAATGTTTAAGCGAGTAGGATTTAGCATCTAGTATCGCCTCTAACACTCCGCCCCAATCAGCTCGTTAGTTGTCAGAGCTCTTCCCCAAACCCCGCCAATCAGTTATCAGCGGCAGCACACGTAGCTCACGTAGCTTGTTTCTTGTTAGAGATAACCAAGATATGGTCAGGTGCTACTTGCATATTCGCTGCTCGCTTCATCAGCAGAGGTATGGTAAAGGAGGCTGGCACGAAAATACGGCCCACGTTTCGGTGATCGAGGCTGAAGTTACTAGAGTTGGGGGATCTGTCTTCAGCCCTACTATCTAAGTCGACTAAGTTCCAAGGTAGGTATGTAGCTAAAGGGTCCTTGTAGGTCGACAGCTAGCAAGCTGAGATCGCGTATCCTAGGAGGTAGGTAGCTCGACATTCCACCATAGCTCGAGGTTACCCCCAATATATAGCTGCTCTCTTTATCTACCTAACTAGTCATTGTGTGTTTTCTTGCAGGATTGATATCACCTTGTTTTCTCCTTTCCATGCACACTCAGGGTGTTGTGTTACGGGGGCCGCATGAAAGCTACCAATCAAGCTCAAGAGCATAGAAAACGTGGGGATCTCTGCGGCTGAAACAAGTTCACTGGCGACCTTCCTATGTTTCGCGATGATGATCTAGCAATTCATATCCTTCTGTTGGCCATTATAAGTTGTCAAGTCATACTTTATTTCCGCATGCTGATCATCGAGCCGACGTCCTCCGCGACGGAGGAACTCTCCGGTGCACCCGCCATCCTAGTACAGCATCCGATAGGGGAAGATGATGAATTTCCAAAATGGAAAGGGAAAGGGAAAGCTATCGTGGCAAACGTAAACGATGATTCCTTGTCGACAAGTTTGCCAAGAAACGAAATCACCGTCGATTGGACCCAATATGAACCTCCCGAGGGCCTGAAAGACACAGCGGGTTCCAAATCAGACATAGTCGTCCAGATCATCCAGGAATCCATTGACAAGGTTAAGACTCGAATTTTTGAAGAGGAGCAGAGGCAGAAAGCGGAGGATGCTAAGAAGTTGAAACAACATGAGAAGCTTAGAAGTGATAATGAAGACCAGAGTACTGAAACGTCAGACGCGCCCTTGGATGAGAGGTCAGACGAACAGGATGTAGTACTTCAGGCTCTAGTGCCAGCCCCGAGGGTAGAATCATTTACTTATGATGTTATCACGCCAGCACAGCCCGCCAAGTCAAAAAAATACTCGTTTAAAAATCTCTTTCGGCGTTTGAATAATGTTGTAGAAAGAGGTGAGTCCAGCACAACTGGAGCCGCTCGTCATAAGCGGGATATTTCTTGGAGTAGCTTAGAAATGGGCACCTATACGGCGAAGAAGCGATTCGTATCCGAGGTTTTAAAGAGGACGACGACGAACAGCAATAGCAGCCCGACTTCATCGGTCCATGAAGCTGAAGTGTGAGTGCCTATAACAACTGAAAGTCACTAGGATAGCACTAATATACTCTAGCGAATGCGTCTCTTGCTTGGACGACTTTAGCCCTAAGGAGATGATCAAGGTTCCTTGTCACAGTTATTGCAAGCCTTGTTTCATACGTCTAATACATACGACTTGTGACAATGAGCAGCAATGGCCACCCAAGTGCTGTCTAAATCCCATCCCAGCCGCTACCATAATACTCAATGTCGATTCCGGGCTGAAGAAAATCTATCACAACAGAGCAGCAGAGTGGAACCTACCAATCAGTGAACGTGTATACTGTAGCCAGCAAAGCTGTAGTCTCTGGCTTCGGCCGGATCAAATCAACCGCGCCCGCAATATCGCAAGGTGCTCGACAGGTCACTGGACCTGCATCATCTGCCGCGGCCAGCAGCATGAAGGAGACAACTGTCCCGAGGACCGCGATATGATGAAAACTGATGAGCTCGCTGAAGAAGAGGGATGGAAGCGATGCTACGGTTGCCACGCATATGTTGAGCATAGAGAAGCATGCCAACATATGACTTGCCGATGCGGTGCCGAGTTCTGTTACGTTTGTGGTGCACGCTGGCGAACCTGCGCTTGTACGATGGAACAGTTAGCTGCTGTCAAAAGAGGCGCAGAAGCACGACGCCAGGCCCGCCAGGACAAGGAAGCTCAGGAGGAGGCCGAGATCCAAGAGGCTCTACGACTGGTAGCCGAGTTCGAGCGTGAAGAAGCGCTTAAAGCTGAGCTGTTGCGACAAGAACAGGAACGGTTGGCTGAGGAGCGCCGGGCGAGGCTACTTGAGGAGCGCATTAGGCGTGAGGGTGAAAGACGGCGGGCGGTAGAAGTCAAATACCTGGAACTCCGTGAGGTATTTGTACATGTACATGAACTTCAACGCATCATCGTGCAGCGCGACCACAGCACTGAAGAAGCTGGACTGAAAAGTCAAGGTGCTACGGCACTGGAAGAACTACAGGAAAAACAGAGAGCAGAACGTGAGAAGCTAAGCGCCGTTACAAAGAGTAAGTTAGCGAGGCGGGAAAAGGTGCTCAAACGGGAATACGTAGCACGAGTAGCCGAGGAGCGTCGAATCGAAGAGCAGTACCACGCACAATTAAAAGAATATTGGTCTCGTAAAAAGGATAGCGAGGCTAAAATAGAGGCTGCTATGAAACAACTGAAGCGCAAAATGGACGCCAGCTTCAGGAAGTGGGAGAAATGGAGAGACAACGAGTTAAACAACTACCATTGGAGCGTTAAGGAAGAACAGGGGATCAAAGAGGAGCTGATGCAGGAGGCGGAACGAAGGCTGGTGGAGGACACACGGGAAGCTCAGACTGCGTTCTCGTTACGCAAATCCGCCGAGCTTCGGTGGGTGGACGTTTTGATCGAGGAGCGCAACCGCATGCTCAACGACATGGAGATTGACGAGATTGAGAATGGCGAGAACGTCGATGCTTGGTTTGATGAAAATGTACTTGACGAGGATGAGCCGGATGAAACGGGCTTTCCGGAGGAGTTTCGGGTTCCGGGTGCGTATGAACAATATTTAGATGGGGTTTGAACTTGGTATACTCTGTTTTTCATGTATATTATATGCGGTTAATGTTAGGGCATTACATGTTAAATTATAAATTATAAAGAGTTTATGTGATTTCTCCGTATATAAATTAAGTTTCAAGACCTAGCTAGACGATGTTGGCTCTATGAGAATATCCCCGATGCGTTGGGAATAGGGGCAGATAGGGGCAGGCGTGACGTAGATCAAATATATGGATGGAAACTATAACCCAAATATAACTAAGCTCACTACTTGCTCTATTGTAGGTGTCTTTATTAGCTTTAATTATGGTTTCCTATATCGAATCTCGATAGCTTATACATGCAGATAGATATCACACAATTCTACACACCGTCGTTTTCAATATCATAACGACGTCGAGCTAGAAAGCCAACCTTCACTCACTCAACACTCGCTTCGAAACAAATGTCCACCCAACTATTAGACTTTCAAACAGGCATATGAGATATACTTTTTGTAAGATTTCGATATGGACCGGACGAGGTACTTCGAATCGTACAGTCATTTCCTCCCGACGAACATGTCTCACTCCCTGCCGTCGCATTCTCGTCGATCCTCCTATTACCACGGTCCCGCCCCTCCGCAACCACCGGCCGCTTCATGCGCCGCCGGAGGCCACCAGCACCACGGGGAGGACCCGCAGAAGATGGCGGCGGATCAGGCGTACAAAGCTACGTTGTAAGTCTCTATTTGGGACTCGTCGTATACATACTTGCTTATATCCTACCTTTTCTTTGGTCCTTATTTCTATAGTTTTATCCTTCTCCCTTCCATTCTAGGGCTCTTACCTTACCTTACCTTACCCTACCTTACCCTTCTTCCCCAAATCATGATTAGGCTTGACTACCCTCCTAACTCAACCTAACCAGCGCCTCCCACGAACGCGCCGTATTCCAAGACGAAGCGCGGGCACGCGCCCGACGCCGCGATGCAGCTCGCAACCGCGCCTTATTCCGCGGCCGCTTCTTCAAGCGCCCCGAGTTCTATGCTATCTCGCTCGGCATTATCGGCCTACTGTACCCCGTCGTAAACCAGTATTTCATACAACCGTGGGTCGACCGATTGAGTAAGGGGAACGGGGTGGATTCTTAGAGCAGGAGAAAGGATGCTAGTGCTGTGTCTTGGCCTCCCCTGCGGCCGTCATGATAGCCAAAGTCCAAAGGTGTGATGTGTGCTGGCGCCGACTGAGGTCGACTGTGGGCATGGAATCGAATTTGTCGTTTAGGACTCCTGTTGTTCGTGTTAAGGTGAATGGGTAGTAAGGTCTGTGTTGAGGCTAGGAAACGCTGGCATATTTATGTCTAAGGAAAAATAGGCATAGGCTAATTATTGTTTCCGGCTTGCTTGCGTATTTCCTCGCATGAAGCAAGATGGTGGTTATTCATATTATTACTTCTCGACTAATTATCTTCGTATCATGTCCTTACTAACTCAGTTCTTGAGATCCCGTAAACAGGAGTAAGGGATAAAACCGGCCGAGATTTAAGGTCACACAAGCTCTTGATATGACCAAGTTTTCTCTTTATACTTCAGAGCGTATAGAAGCTCCGTCTTCGGCCAAGCTTGGAGTCGACTCAAGACATAGAGTGGGGCTATATCATGGATCGTACTACTAGATATGTGTATAGAAACAACCCCTCTTAATAGCAAGACACTTTGTAGTTATGGGATAACTAACTAGACTACTTTGCAATAATATCAATGATCCCTAATGGGTCAAGAATAATGTTAGGTACCTAGTCATCGTTGATACCCTGACGACGATAGTGATTACATATTCAACACACTGTTGTGTATTATGGTTCCCAACTCCACTTGCATCATTATCAATCCTCTGTTTAGTATCATGGGGATTACTTACCTTATACGAATCTATGCAGAAGCATAACTAGACCTTCGTCTAACGACCTTAGCATGGCTCGTATCTCCACGTGTTTCTATGCTATGATACTATGATCATGACCTGTCTATCAGGCGAGATGGATTCAACACGGTCAACGGCGAAAAGCGAAGTAATTCGTAACTGCGGCCCTCAGGGTCCACGAAAACCTAGTGTACCTACGATGGACCGGCACCCACTTCTCATCATCTACCCCAAAATTCGAGACATACATTTATGATATGCAATAACATCATATGAAGGGGTCACGTGTGGTAGGCCTATACCTCAATCTGAATGGGTTGGCCGAACAAAGGAGACAGTGCTGTAAGTCGGCCTAAATGTGCGGTGAAGAGTGGCAAAAAGCCCGACTGACTCTGGGACAAGTATAGGAAGATAGGAACAAATATGAGAACACGACGCAGACGCGAAAGGCATACCCGCGTTTGTGTGGATTCAACGCTGCGGAAGATATCCGATCTGATGCAAACACGACGGGAGTGCTGCGTACAAGCCCCATCTCCCCAACAAACGAAACGCTGGTAGCGCACCACATCGTATCGTGGGAGTCACCGATGCGATCTGTAGTGTCTTGCGTTAACTATTCCCAACTATCGTCAATGGAATGCCCTCGAAGGAGGGTACCTTGACCAAGCCAGGTGATTTATGCGACAATCCGTTGGTCAATTGGAGAAAAATATTTACGTGAAGAACCAGTTAAGTCGAGTTCCTGCAAATCGCTTCCACTTTTTAGCGTCAGCGAAGCCCCGTTGGCATAAGTCGATATGAATTCGAAGCGGTGAAGAACTCGCGATGCCGGTTCGGGTGGTTATTTGTGGGATGTACATATGCATGAAGAGGATCCGCCGCAGGAGTGGACAACGAACAACCACTACCCATTTAGATGGGGGCCGGCGTCGAGTAGAAATTGTGCAGCAACCTAAAACAGTACAGTGGCTGTCGATGAGATTGGGCTACAAGGCGGGTGTTGCGGGAAGGCCAGGGTTCAGCGGCAAGATACAGTATGTACCCAATATAGTAAATGTAGTATACCTAGGTAGGTAGGTAGGTAGGTAGGTAACCCTCTCTAGTGTACGGTATATATGTATTTTCCTTTAGATTTATAGCGACCGGATACGGTGACCGGGCGAATATAGCTGCTAGATGTGGCAGATGCATCTGGCATGCCTTAGCAGCAGTCGTCCTACTTCCGGATAGGTGGATCCCAACGACGTGGATGAATGGCGTTGTGCTAAGCATGGAGAAGCATGGAGCAGATACAAGCTAAAAGGCGCATGGCTGCCCATCCATCATGTATCGATACCTTGACCTTTTCCCACTGCAGCTGAGAGGTCATATCCCATGGGTATATGATCGTGCCGCTTTTTCTTCGCGTGAGCACATGTTTCGGTAATTAGACACTTCATCCAACTTTTCGCGTTTGCATTGTCGTCTATAGGCACGCGATATAATAATTCGCCGCACCCGTTGCGCAAAAGGGGCGAGGTCCGTCATGCAAGTAAACGTGCAAAATTTTCTCAATTTGGAGGAGCCATTTGCCAGTCCGTAGATGATCGACCATGCCGTACGCGTCCTCAGCATCCATCAACGGTCAGCTAGTTGAGAACACCCAATTCGAAGCAGGATAAGGGAATGCAGGATAAGGGAATGCAGGATAAGGGAATACCAAGCTGCAGGGGCGGGATACACAAAAGAGATTTCGATAGATAGAGAAGCGGAAGGCTGAAGAAAAAAAAATTAATCGAATGAGGAGGGGTCCAGTCAAACAGTCAGACGGGAAATGGAGAGGGGGCCGAAAAAAATGAAAAGTGAAAAATACGCAAGATTTCATGTGGCGGGGTTTCATCATTGAGACGCGACTGGTGATAATCGTTCGCGCAGGTTCAATGTACAATGTACATACAATGCACCGAACGCAGGGACCAAACGGGAAGTCAATGTAACCAAGTCTGTAATAAGTCAATTGAGATTTATCAATTGTTCTTTCCTTTTGTTCTTGTTTGCTGGACCCCATATAACTTTTATTTTGTATTAGGTTATACATGTAACTGCCTTGGATATGTTAAGTGTTATACACAATCGAATTCAACCATATCACCCCACTCCAGGTCGGTCGAGACTAGTACCTCTTTTGACAATACATGCGAGAAGTCGGGGAAAGTCACCTGGCTTTATCGCGGTACAAAGGCCTGAAGTGGATAAGGAACGTTTGGAAAGAAGCAAGGACTTGCCATCAAGTGACACATTGGAGTAATGGAAGACGTCGTAGCCTATAAACAGGTACAAGAAGGCGTATAATAAATTGTATGCGATCAAATGTACTGTATATTGTATGTGAGGTCCCAGAGTAAGGTTACTATGTAAATTTAGGAAAGGATGGCAGGAGGGTGTTATTGTGTCAAGGCTGGCAGGGGTGTGCGGTAAAATAAAAGTGGATATATCACATTAGTATCTGTCCAATGAGAATGATAACCAGCCATCCCACAAACACCGACTTCCCCTCTATTGTCTCTTAATGCACACCCTCTCTCCAAACAATTGCGACTATTTTTTCTCCTTCGCCCACTCAGGTGCATGATGCTGCGTTATTGTTCGTCCATTGGGTGGTCGCATCCGTACATGCATACATAATAGGCTCATACGTCCAATCCGTTTACTGTTTTTGTGGTCTTTTGCTCCCTTTTGTACCTTTTGCTTCAAGCAGACAGGGGAAGGACTTCCACCTTCACGCTGCTTTGCCGCTTTGCCTTATACTCGAGCGAGCTCTATTCAATTCTCGATACAATCAGATTGGAAGTCCTGTCGTCAAAAAGACGAGAGGTATCCGAATTCTGTCGGGGAATGTCTGCCACACACTGACCGCGAAGCAAAACCAATCAATAGCCGGCATCTCTCTTACACACCTTTATTTGCATTGCCGCATCGCCGCATCGCCGCATCGCAACATTATTGGTGCTTATCAGAAGTCGATTTTACTGCCTCTTGTACTACGTATTGTACTTTACCCCTTGCTTTTTCTATATCCCCCATTGCATTGCCAGGGACGATTCTTTTCTTCCAAGGGCATTAGAGGGCTGTACGGGGAAGGAGACGATGATAATTAAGATTGCGACTTATCACATCAAGCTAGAAGCTCAGAATCTCTGCCTCGTTGACGTCTGACTGCGTCCTGTTAACCGACAACAATAAACGACCGTAACATCCTCAAAAGACCCCAAACCGACTCATACTACCGCCTCCTCTCGCTTAGATATCCATAGACTTTCAACCCTAAAGCTGTAAGAATAGACAGGTCAAAGGCAAAGCCTTTGCATTTTAAACACCCCCCCTCGATTGCCGAACTAATAGTACAGCTTACTACAACCCCTGACTTTCACCAGTCTGTCGAAGACAATATCTCAGCGTCCATGATTCTCTTAGCCCAGCGCGACCAGTCGAGTTCCCAACCTCAATATGGCTGCGGCCGCGTTTATAGAATCATGCGCAAGCGCGACGAGAGACGGGTTTGGCCGGCCAAAGACCCGGCCTCCCATCACGACAACGACTCTGCAGTGGGGTGAACTAGACCTGCAAACTCGACTGGAGCTTATTTCGAGAGTATGGCTTTTGGTGGCAACAGTATTGAAATCGGTATGTGCTCTCTATCTTGGGCATCCCTGGTTCCTAGCAATCCAGCTACACTCTATGTTATAGTTTGTTTCAATAGGCTGGTCGCTGTATAGTATGGCGTGTTATTAGTCTATATTTCGAGACTTGTGTTCTACACCCGCGGTAGTGGCCATCGGAACTAGAAGCTGACAGATGCGATCCGGAATAGGAACTACACTGTAGGTATAATCAGAAGGTCATCCACCATGCTATCTCCAAACCACTGGTGTTGCCTGACTCTACACCGAAGCGATCGCGACGATTATCGAAGCATTGCGACGATGACTCCCTCCCTTTTGAACCCCTAATTGATCCAGCTCGAACTGGTGAGGCTGCCCGTCAGCGAGACCACTCTAACTTAGTGAATAACTACCTACCCCCACCAAAAGACGCTCGGCGTCGTGCACAGCGAAGAGATTTATTAACCGGCGATCCGGCAACCGAGCCTTACTTAAATCTTTCATCAGAGGATGGCTTCATCCAACACGCCAAAAAGAAGAACAAGAGGACGCCAGCAGTACAAAACCTCAATCGGGCCAATGAGACAGCGAATAATAACGACGGCAAAGCAGGCGGTGCTGGTGGAGGTGACGGGGATCAAAACGATGGTCCAGGAAACACCGGTGGGGGTGCGGGTAGTGATGGCAATGACGGTGGTAAGGGTAACGATGATGATAAGGATAAGGATAACGATAGGAATGACAATAAAGACATGGAAAAAGAAAAGGAGGAAGAAAAGGAGAAAGAGAAAGAGAAAGAGAAGGATAAAAAAGACGACACGGCCGACACAAAACTAGATGATAGCATGGCGGCTCCTGAGACCATTAGCAGCAAGAAAAAGAAGAAGGGGAAGACCCAGGTCGAAGAGAAGGTTGAAGCATTTGAAGTACCAAGTAAGCCTGACGCCTTCCAGGACATCAAGTTAGATGAGCCCGTGAGGTCGTCCTTGGATATCGGTTTTAGGGGTAGTAGTACTACTACACCCGAGCCTAAGACCAACATTTTTATTCCGTGGCGTAGTGCCTGGGGTAGTGGTCTCGGGGGCCTATTTGGGTCCAAAGATGCTGACCACTCCAAAGATAAAGAAGAGAAGAAGGAGGAGAAAAGGGAAGAGACGAATGCTAGTGCGTGGAGCATTGATGGGCCCAAGGATAAGAAGAAGGATAAGACAGGATTCGGATTCGGTTCTTTAGACGAAACAGAGAATAAAGCTGAAGCGCCCATCTCTAAGAGGAAGTCTGAGGAGAAGTCCGAGAATTTTGACCTCGGCCTGGGCCCGGCTAAGAAGGACAAGAACAAGAAGAAGAGCAGCGCCTGGGACCCTGAACCCCTGCCCAAGGAGACACCAGCCGCTCAAAGCAAGGAATTAGGGTCGACTGCGCTCGATGACAACTGGGGAAGCCCCTGGGAAGCAACCACTACTGCTAAGAAAAAGGGCAAGAAAGATTCTGCTGTCGTAGCGCATGAACCTGAGAAGACTGAGCCTATAGTTAGTACTGTTAATAACGCCCCGGCCGCCATCGACTTACTTGTACCACCGTCTAAAAAAGATAAGAAAAAGAAGACAGGTGCCATTGAGGAAACCCCCGAGCCCGAGCCCCCGGCACCGGAGCTGGAGCTAGAGCTAGAGCCGGAACCCGAGTCTGTGAAAGAAGAGAACCCCTGGAGCGGCATATATGGGACGTCCTCTAAGAAGAGCAAGAAGAAGGCAACCGAGACACTTAAAGGGTCTGACCCGCCCGTTCCTGATCCAGAACCTGATACTTTGACTCTTGATAGTGGCTGGGGCTGGGGCGTGAAGGACAAAAAGAAGAGTAAGATCGCAGAAGCTTCGAAGGTAGAAGAGTTAACGCCGCTGTCTGAACCTGCGAACAAGGAGGAAAACAATTTTTGGGACTCCACAACTACGAAGAAAGACAAGAAAAAGAAAGGTAAAACTGCAACTACCACGCCGGAGCCTGTCGTTGAGATAGTAGAAGAGAAAGCCGAGCCCGAATTCAAACCCAAGCCCAAACACAACGATCCTTGGGAGGTGTTCGGGGCCATTAAGAAAGATAGGAAGAAGAAGACGAAAGACCCCGAACCTGAACCTATTCCAGAGCCAGTAGTTGAGCCTGAGCCTGAACCCGAGAAAGATGACGACTTGGCGAATTGGGATGTACCTACCAAGAAGAAGAGCAAAAAGAGCAAAGGTGCCGAGGAAATCAAGGAGCCCGAGCCAGTGTCGACACCAGAGTCCCCAACAGAGCCTGAGAAGAAGGAAGACGACTGGGGTCTTTTCGGTAAATTAATTAAGAAGGACAAGAAAAAGAAGAACGTCGTTGCAGATGAGCTACTTGAAGATATACCCAAGGAGCCTGAACCGGAGCCGGAGCCCCCGAAGAAGGAAACTGTCGATTTTCTATCTTTTACAGCTACAACGAATGAGAAGAAGAAGAAGAAGAAGAAAGGTGCGACGGAGCCGGAACCGGAACCGGAACCTATCTCAGAGCCAGCGCAAGAGCAAGAGCCGGAGCCGAAACCAGAACCAGAACTGGAGCCTATAAAAGAAACCGAACCTGGGGAGGACGATCATTGGGAGTTGTTTGCCGCTGCCTCAAAAAAGGACAAGAAAAAGAAGAAGAAAACTGCCGCGGGAGAGCCCCTTCAAGAACCAGGGTTTGTTCCCGAACCTACACCAGAATCAGAACGAGAAAAAGTCGAGCCTACTAACGACCGGGCTGCATGGGGCACCTCAAGTAAGGACATAGGCAAGGGTAAAAAGAAAAAGAGCATCTTAGATGAGCTTGCTCTCAAAAAGTCGGAGTCAGAACTAAAGCCAGAGGTACTTCCCACTCAAAATGATGATGACGCGTGGGGCCTCAGCACCTCTAAGAAAGATAAGAAGAAGAAGAGTAAGACCACCATTGTCCCGGAAAAGCCACCCAAGGAAGAGGAAGTAGCACCGCCAGCTCCATCTACCTCTGAGCCAGAACTCGAACGGGAACCCACTTCTACTTCAGCTACTGAGCAGCCGAGCGCTTGGAGCTTTTGGGGTGCTGCCAAGAAGCCCGTCAAGAAAGCGAAGGAGGAGTCTCCCATTGATGAAGGTAACGAAGGTTGGCTGGGCTGGGGCAAGAAGAAAATCCAGGCATCAACAGCTCTTGTCGAAACCAATACAGATCCGGAGTACGAAGACTCAGAGCCACCGCCGGCCGTACCTGAAGCCGACGACTTGTGGGGTAGTTTCACAGGTGACAAAGACAAAAATAAAAATAATCTAATGCCGGACTCGATTGAAGAGCCCAAGAATGACGACCCCTGGACTAGCAGGTCAAAGAAAGTTAAGAAGAAGAAGGGTAGTAAGAACATTCCGGTCGAGATAGAGAACGAGCCCCACCTTAACGGTGTCAAACCCGACTCAGTAGAAGAGAGTAGGGGTGGCAATTTCGACGACGATGACTGGAATTGGGGACAAGGTAAAGACAAAAAGACATCTCCACCCCCAGCACCCACACCACCTTCATTAGAAATGAGTTTGTCAGGCCGAGAACTGGAAGAGAATGTCTGGGATGACGCCAAAATTGGAGAAAACGAGGAAGAAAAGAGAGCAGCCGCGGAATTGGCAAATCAGATTGCCGCCGAAGAAGACGAGTTGGCAATGCTAACAACTAAGAGCCAGAAGAAGAAACTCTCTAAGTCCAGTCAGAAAAGATTCGATGAGCTTACTGCAAATGCCAAACGTCGTGCTAAGAAGGCTGCCAAAGAAGCTGAAGAGCTGGCCCAACGAGAGGCTGAGGAGTTGGCTTCGGCGGAAGCCCTGGAAGCAGAGCAAAACGCTGCGGCAGAAGCCCAAGAGGCCGAAGAGCAAGCCGCCGCAGCGCTTGCAGACGAAATCGCGGAAGAAGAAGCCGAGTTGGCCGCGCTCACAGCTAAGAGCAAAAAGAAGAAGCTCAAGGCGGCAGGTCAGATGAGACTTGATGAACTTACCGAGAAAGCCCAGGCCCGTGCGGAAGCGAAAGCGTCCCAAGAGGCACAAGATCAACAGGCACTTGACGCTGAACGAGAGGCGCAAGAAGCCGAGGAACAAGCAGCGCGAGAGGCCGAAGAGCAGAAGGAACGAGAAGCTCAGGAACAAGCGGCGCGCGAAGCAGAAGAAGAGGAAGCTCGCGAGGCTGATGAGCTAGCTACGCGCGAACGCGAGGAAGCCGAAGCAGCAGCCAAGAAGAAGTTGAAAAAGAGCTCTAAGTCCGAAGATAAAAAGTCTAAATCCAGCAGCGCCAAGGATAAACTATCTAAAAAGGACAAGGAAAAGGAGAAGGAACGGGAAAGAGAAAGAGAGCGGGAGGAGAAAAAAAGGGAGGAGAGAGAGAGAGAAGAGAAAAAAGATAATAGAAGGAACGACGACGACGACCTGGATCTTGATAATATTGATCTTGCTCCCGAACAGATCGATGAGCTTTTATCTGGTTTCTCAGCTCCCAAAATACAACCTCAGCCTAAATCTAAGGCCGAGACGTATAAATCCGATGCATTTTCATTCTGGGGTGCCAGGGCGAAGAGCTCGTCACCCGAGCCGGTAAGCAGCCCTAAGATGCCCAAGACTTCGGGAGCAGCCGAGATTATATGTGCTGAGTCATCACAGCTTCCGGAAGAACCCCCCATTGAGGATGCCCCATCGTCTTCGAAGACTCCCACAACCGATGATGACTGGATGAAGCCAAGGAAAGCTAAGGCCAAGAACGGTAAGCTTGCCGAAAAGCTTAGGAAATTTGAACCGGCCAAAGAGGAAGAAGACGATGACCTGATTGACGGGCTGGCTGCGCCGCCGCCACGTGTTCGTGTCGCACCACCCGTCGACGAAGATAACAAATTTAGGTCCTCTAGAGACATACTCCCCGGGGGGTTCCCTGACGAAGATGAGAATGAAATCATTGACATCGTTGATATGGCGCCAGTACAGAAGAAAAAGAAGAGCAGTAAGAAGAGCAAGGCCAAGGCCGTCGAGACACCCCCTCCACCGCCTGAGGTTCCTATTCCACCACCACCTCCTGAAGTGCCCGTCCCCCCTCCAGCTGCCCCCGACGAGCCCCCGACACCGCCACCCGAGGTCAAGTCCTCCAGAAGAGACCGACCTAAGATCAGCCGTGAAGGTAGTGCATCATGGGGAGTGTGGTCGGCAACACCTCACAAAGAGGAGAGGAGACCCAAGCCGAGATCCGAAGAGAAGAGGGCCCGGAGAGAGAAAGAGAAGTCATCTTCTTCCAAGGGCTCGTCGTCAGAAAGGGATAATAAATCCGAAGAGCACCCAGACAAGAAATTGCCACCTACCAATCTGCGCACGAACAGTATATTCCAGAGCACTCCTCCTATCTCGCGCTCCATGTCAACCCGCGATAAACGCTACAGTGCGAGCAAGTCGGATTCGCGTCGCCATTCAGACAATATAGCAAATGCACTAGTGTCGCCACCGCCAGAAGAAATACCCATGATGTCCTCCAAGGCTGCCAAAATATTCGGTGTTGACAAGAGCGAAAAGAGTCGCAACCGCAAGACCTCTATGGCACGTGCCTTGGATGATGAAGAGATCGTCATGGTTGGAGCCGGAGAAGTCCCTTCGAGCCCTGAGAAGTCGGCTCGTAGACGGCCAAAGGTAGGAGCTCGCCGTTATACAAAATTTGTCCTAGCTAACCCAGAACAGCCCAAAACCGAGGACGACGCGGTCATGTTTGATATAGGAAACCCTGCAGATGCGGTACCTTTCAAGCGATCGAGCTCGAGTGCCAAGAAAGGCATTGCTGGTCTTTTTGGGGGCCTTAGGTCCTCGAATCCACGCTCGGAATCACGTCCCGAGCCACGTCGTCGCAGTACATACTACACCACGGACGATGAAGCACGGCCTGATAAGAGGGCTAGGCGGTCTACACGAGATTATCACGTTGTCGATGCAGAGGCCATAGACGAGAGAGAGGCCCGCCGCGCAGCTCGCCGTGCCAGAAGAGCCGAAGAGAAGGCAGTAGAGGAAGCGCGTCTGGCGAAAGAAGAGGAAAGACGCGAGAGGCGAAGAAGATATGAAGAGGAGGCTGAAGCTCGTAGACAAGCTGAACGCGAGGCCCGACGAAATGAGCGTAGGGCTGCCCGAGAACGCGAAGCAGAGCGCCTGGCAGTCGAAGCTAAAGAAGCTGAGAGAGCTGAACGACGTCGGCTTCGTAGACTTGAAAAGGAGGCTGCTGCCGCCGAGGAGATGGAAACGGAAGCCCGCCGCGCTGCTAGGGCTGAACGACGGCGACCACGCTATGCTGACGCTTCCGAGGACGAAGAAGAACGTCGACGGAGGAGACACGAAGCCAGGCGTGCCGAAGAAAAGGCCAATCGAAGACGTACCATGCCGGTTGAGGATTATGTCTACCCTCAGGAAAGATCTTCACGGCATGTTGTAGATGATCGCGATCGTGATCGTGATCGTGATCGTGATCGCAGACGAAGCAGGCCTGCGGTTTGGCCTCACTCGGGTACAGATTCCTGGGTGAAGGAGCATTCAGAGTCTGGGCCACCCCCCGAGGATGGCCCCACTACCGATGCGCCTCCTGAGGATGACGAAGAAGCTCGCCGTGCTGCACGACGAGCACGCCGCCGCGCGAAGCATGGTGATATCGATGCAGAAATGGAGGACGACCGACGACGCCGTCGCGCGCGCCACGAGGAACGGGATCAACGAGACCAACGGGATCGTCGAGATCGTCGTGTGGGCGGTTCGGACGGCAGTGGTGATAAGAATGGTACCAAAGGTGGCCCGCGCGAGTCTTTCTTCACAGACTCGACACCTCGAAGCAGTTGGTGGAGGAAACTTACTGGCTCTTGAGGAGCGGAGTTGGAGACTTGTTTAACAGGGTTGACACCCTACTGTCATTGGCCACGGAAACATTTCCTTGGGCGTGTTTTTTCTTCTTCGTAATTTACTCGTCACAAAACAATTTTAAGATTTATGGGACATTTTTGGATTGGGTTGTGCCTCTCATATAGCTATGGAGATGATAGTTTCCTAGGGTTGGGTATTCTCGTGTCATAGCTGCGTTTGGGTGTATCTTGGTGTGTACAAGTGACGTGGCAAGGCTGAGGGGATGGGAGGCAAGCAAGATGCAAGATTTGGGGAGCAGGTGGGAGCAGGTGGGCTGGGTCCATCCATCCAGACCAGGCCCGACGCTACCCGATTGGGCAATTTATATGATATATCGTGATGAAGGTAAATGAAGGTAATGTGGCAGTTTCTAATGTGAAGGATGCATATGGATATACCCCTTACAGCTTTGTATTTTATTAGTTAGTTAGGTCTGCGCAATATCGTTCGTTATATGGTTGAAATGAAATGAACAGTGAGGAATTATTGGATTTCTATTGAAAGCGTGCTGCTATTCTAACTAATTTGGCCTTTATATTATGGTATATGTCGGAGGCAGGTACCAAAAATGCACGCACGCATGCAAAGACATGTGTACGAAACATTATCTAAGGTTAAACTACCTACCTAGCGTACATTATGTAGGTACGTATGTACATATGAGAATGGCCTTTAAGACGCGTCTCCCACTTCCAAACGCGTTCCTTCCTTTAGGTACCTATGAAGTTCACCATCACGGCAGCAACTCCCGTCCCTCCTCACCCACCTACGCACCTGCCAGTCTACATTACCTACCTAAGGTATGTATTCCATACCTTCCTACCTCCCAACTAAGTACCTAAGGTAACTACCCAAGTTAGAGCCCTCATAATGTCTAATAAGCAGCACACTTTCCAACGAACAAACAAGAAACGCATCCGTGGAGTAGTAGTTAACTTGTTCCTCTCCCATTTCCCCTCGTGGTCAAATGGTCAAGGAAAGACCCGGGTGCAAATCCCGGCGGGTGCAAATCTTTTTGATTTCCTCTTGTGAGAGGTCTTGGGTTCATGCCCGGCTCGCGGCCATTTACTTTTTGCCTACCTAAAGGTACTGCTTATCGAGTTCTTCTATTTCTTTTCTTTTTTCTTTTTTAACTTACCTAGGCTAGGCACCTACTTAACGTTTCTATTACTGGCTTACAATACTACTTTTGAGAATTTATGTTTATAAAGATTATGAGGTAGTTAACTACCTACGTAGTAAATTATGCAGAGTTTTATTGTAATATTATTGTAATATAATATCATGATACATCCCACCAGATTTCTTGAAAAATATAGGTAGTGGACCTAGATATGTATGATGCCCCTTATAGACGTATATCGAGAAGCACTAATAACTTGAGTGATATCACGTATGTTCAATAAGACAGGGTAAATGCAAATCAACTGAGTTATACACTGACAATAGCCAAACTAACCCATCCCTAGTGATGAGCGGTCCGCCTACCACCTACTTGATGCGGCTTCCTTGACGTGTGTATCGGGTAGACGATGCCAGCCAGCAGTCGTACGTACCCGTTACATGTGTTTGGGCGATGGTGTGTGTGTGTGTGAGAGAGAGAGAGAGAGAGAGGGTCGACACGACGCCAGCTCGCCAACCGCAAACGCGAAAACATTTAAAAAAGGAGGGAATAGATCCTCCCGTCTCTCTCCCGGAGCCCAGTCTCTCCCCACTCCCCCTGGTACCCCCCCTAGAAACGCCCATTCGCAGCGTCTGCGCGATAGCAACGACGACGTAGCTAATTATGCCCGTTAAGAAAGTATCCCAATGCCATGTCCAAAGCAATAATAATAACGAGGTTTGCATCCAAACCTCAACTTTTCTTTTTTTTGAATCTCCCAAAAAAGCACATTCTCACACTCCAGTTGTTATTCGTCAGCGTCTAAACGCCAATGGTAGGGTAGTCTCCGTTTGAGCCCTCGGCTGCTCGCAGGATGCCGCTGCCCACATTTCAGTCAACCACCCGAACATGACTTGTAAACAAACAGCCTTGCCTCCCCAGAAGTAGTCATAAGAGATATCTTCGTCATAGCACATTAAAGGTAGGTATTGTATATAGGGTGGAGCTGCATAACCCTTTTCAGTTGCGTGGAAAAAAGAACGCAAGGTAGTAGTACGGTTAAAGACGTGGGCCGGTGGGATCTTAGCGTGATATACTATATGGAAATAGAGGGCAAGATTTTAGGATAGTTAAAATCGGAGGTTATCAGTCGTCAGACTCTTGGTCGGTAGTGAGTGCCTCGGCCTCGCTGTCAGTGGTAGTAAGGTCGCCATATTTAGCCTTGTATCGCTCAAGTTCGGCCAGCTGGGCAGCAAGATTGTCAAGGACAACAGCCATCGGTGTTCGGAGATCATCTAGCGAGGTAATCTGGCCGCTGCCTATGGCGATATGTCGCATCGTGAGTGTGGAGATGCAAGTCTGTAAATGAAGACCAGTTAGCAAATACAAGAAGACAGAAAAAGAAGGAAGATTATGATAGGGCCCGAGACGTACCTCTATACGGCTCACTTGATGTTCCATAAAGTTGAATATGAATTGTTCCGTTATTTCACCACCACGTTGCTTCATACGCTCCAATAGTTCGGTCTCGGGAGGCTGCAAACCGCCGCCTGACATCTCTTCCAGAGAACTACAAAGCATCTCCAGGCGCAAACTAACTCTCCATAGAGACCAGATAAGATCCGGGTCGAATCCGAGATCACTCCCGGCCTGAAGTGTAGCAGGCTTCTCAGCGGAATCGGTCGTAATCAGTGCGTTATTATGATGCTCGATACGGCCAGCAAGAGCATGCGGGTAGAGGGAATAAATACCCTCGGGGTTTTCAAGGCCTTTGAGCTTCCGCTCACCCATATCCTTGACCTCAAACCCTTGTGAGCTGAGCGACTTTAGCTCCCTTCTAATTGCTGCCGACGTTGCATCATCATCGAAAGTGTCTTCGGCACCGGCAGTTCCATTTCGCTCGTGTTCCTGGTAGGTCTCAAGACAACGCTGAATTTCGGAGATAAAATCCGTGGACACGGTAATCTGACCTCCATCGGCTACGGAAGAGATACGAGACGCTTTATTCACCATCGGACCAAAGTAGTCCATGCGACGCGTAACGGGGTCAATTTCGGCCACTGGTTCGCCATAATGGATACCCATTCTAACCGACAAGCCTCTGAAGATGAGGTTATTATCATTATCGTACACCTCTTGGCAAGAAACCGAGTTCAAAATTTCCGAGGGCCAATCTGCCGACAGTAGGTGGGTTTGGACGGCAAAGCACCACAAGAGCGCCGAGGTGGCGGTAGGGAAAGAGACCATGAAGGCATCACCTTCAGTCTTGACTTCGTACCCGCCGATTCTGCGAAGTTGCCGTCGCATAATTTCATTGTGCACTTTTATAGCGGATCTCATGGCCGAAGGATACGTTTCCCACAGATTAGTTGAGTTCTTGATATCAGTGAAAACAATGGAAGGCTTTTCAGTAGGGGCGGGAACTTCAGGATCGAGCCTGTGTAATGTGGAGTCCTGGACCTCGCCTTTGGGTTTTCTGCCTCGCTTGGGCGGATACTGGAAATCGTCCGGGACACCAGAGGGATACAGTGACATGCTCTGCCCTCTATGCAAACGAGCCGACCGCTCCTGGCGCCGCTTGAGATCAGAGACGCTGATCATCATGACCATGATTTTCCCAGTTGCACCGTACGCAATAGCAAGATCTCGTAGCTTATGTGCAGCACGCATGAGATCGCCTCGCTCCGATCGAGTGACGTCGACCACTAGGCCGGGAGTAAGGTACTGCCATAACTCTTTTGTTGCAATTAAAATCGTTTCGTCCTGTGGCGCGATAGGTATCTGGAGAACATGGGGAGCTGCCTGTACAGCCGGCATTAAGTCGATGTAGCCGAAGGCACGAGAGACTTCGAGTAGATCATTCAGCTTCCCCTGGCGCGATACCCAACCCCCAGCATCGCGTATTCGTTGACGCTCACTCGGCTCTGCGGGATCGTGTTTCCGCGTGAGGATTTTATGTTGGCCGTCAGATTGGATGAGTACTGCCTGTGCATCGCCGACATTGGCAATGTACAGTTCTTGGCCTTGCAGGTACGCCACTGTAGCAACGCCCCCAGAATTGAGATCTTCCTTGCTAAGGACTACAGACGCCGACGAGCCACGATGCGACATCAACGGCCTCTTTTCACTATGCTCAACAGCTACAGTGACAAGGTCCTTGTTGAGGGCGAGGAATGCACGTCTAAGCGCATCTACAGGTGTCTCGTTTTGGCGTGTCTTCAGAGCCTTCAGTTCCATTGAGAAGATATGCCCGAAATTCTCATGAAGATACTTGGCGATCTTAGAGCCACCGCTAGACAATGCCTGTCCGTCAAACAAGCCTAAGAGCGTCTCTGAGTCTGAGGAATTGAACCTCGGTACGACCAGGTCGATAGTTGACAGGTGCTCGCCTCTTCCTAGTGTATCAGCCATACCATATGGCAGGTGGCCAGCTAACGAACCTGAGGTTCTGACACGGCGATCTTCGCTCTGATCTGGGATACTTGGCTGAGTAAGGGTGACATCCATCAATCCAAGCACACGAAGGTTCAACAACCGACTGAAGTCGGTATATTGCTCGCGGTTCTGGGACACTAGGCCGCCATTTGTCTGTTTGATCTCCAGTCGTTTGTTTCCTGACAAGTTGAGAAACCGCAAATTTGGGTTTAGATTCCAATTCCAATCGTACGGCACGTTTGAGATATTGTACTTGAGGGAATTGTTTCCACAATCCAATACGGCCAGCTTTTTAGCTCGGGAAATATCTGCGGGAAGGTTCGTGAATTTGTTATTATTAATGTGAAGCACCTGAAGCAAGCTGTATTCTTCTAGATCATCAACTGGCAGACTTGTGAGATCGTTGCCTGACAGATAAAGCTCTACGAGCTGTGGCCAATTCTTGATACACCGCTGTGGCATGTCATTCAAGTCGTTGTACGATAGATTGAGAACACGCAATTCGGCC